TTTCTCCGCGCTGGCTGTTGTCGCCCTGTTGATGACGTCAGCGACGCGGTTTAATCGGGCGCGCTTTAGTCGAGCGCGGTTTTGACGGGTCACGAAATTAATGTGGGGCGGTTGTATTCCAAATTCTATTACAAAGCATTCCAGTCCTGTCCTCCCCTTTTAAGGTGTCTGTGTGTGTTAATAATCAACCAGCAGTTGTGTATTAATTCCACAAGGTGGCATCTAGAGCATATATATATATATATTTAATCTAATGCAGCTGCAAACGAAACTGTATACAAGGTTGCCTTTCAAACATCAAGATATATTAAAGGAGTTAAAAAGCAGGTTTGCTACAAATGCACCTATGCTTAGAAGCCCACGGCTGAAATTAGTGTTGAGAATGTGTAATGAGGGCATTAAAGCTTGTCAGGCAGTGAAAAGACATGCAGTTTTGTGCGTCTATGCTAGCTTTTAATAGCCGGAAGCCCATAACAGGCATGAGATCATAGAAAAATATCTTGGCTGTCAGATTTTGGACTATCCAGCTAATCGATCGGTCCACCTTACCCAAGATCACTAGAAGCAAAGTTTGCCCATCTTCCATTCCCCACCGGATGGGACGGGCTGATGACGCTCGTTTACGAAAGGCACCAAAGCTGAAAATTGCAACTATACATGTAATATTGCAATAGACCCGTGATGGCGAACCTATGGCACGCATGTCTGAAGTGGCACACCTAGCCATGTTGCCTGGCACTTGCAGCATCGCCTGTTCCTCTTCCGGGTTTCGGGCATGCCTGTACCCGTGATGATCAGCTGGCCTTTGGCAGTGCCAGAAACTGGAAGAGCTGGTCTTCTGTTTTCCAGCGTGACCATGCGTGCTGGCCAGCTGATCCGTCGCGCACACATGCACACCAGTATCCAGAAGGCTAGCATGCCAGTGCGCATGTGCACACCGGAAACCGGAAGTTCATTTTTTTCAGTGTGCGCATGACCCCTTGGCAGCTCCTCTTCCGGGTTGCAGACCCAACATGTCCTTGGGTCGAGCCGAGGTGGCGCAGTGGTTAGAGTGCAGCACTGCAGGCTACTTCAGCTGACTGCAGGTCTGCAGTTCGGCTGTTCAAATCTCACCGGCTCAGGGTTGACTCAGCCTTCCATCCTTCCGAGGTGGGTAAAATGAGGACCCGGATTGTTGTTGGGGGCAATATGCTGACTCTGTAAACCGCTTAGAGAGGGCTGAAAGCCCTATGAAGCGGTATATAAGACTAACTGCTATTGCTATTGCTGGTGCTCCCTTTTTGGCACACGGTGCCGAAAAGGTTCCCCATCACTGCACTAGGCTATTCTGTTCTAAGGAAGAGCTTTTCAACATTTGGAACAAAAAAAAATAAAAAATCATTACAATTCCTTATTTTGGAGGATTCCTTCTGGGAACATATCAAGGGGTTCCAGTCATTTTCTTTCCACCTTGGAGTCTTTCAAAATGCCAAGCCCAATGCGCATATGTACGCAGGATTCAGCATAAATAAGCTTTTAAGCTGTAATGGTCAGGTCTGCATGCTTAAGTCCAAAGCTTCTTCAATTTCTATTATCACTCTTCCACCCCCAAAACTAGTGAGCAAAGAAAAGCGCAACATTTTTAACGTGGTCAAACCTTGGAAACCTTTCTAGCATTCTAAATAAACGACACAGCCACAAAAATGATGAGTTTATTAAATATTAAGTACAGAAATAATATAGGGTTATCATTTCTTTCCTCGTCTGAAGAAATTAAGGCTTCACACATGCAATCTGAAAAATTTCCTAAGCTCTCGGTTGAGACACTCGATAGAGGAGACAACGGCACTCAAACCACAAAAATCTTTTATTTTCGTTCTTCTAAAAATTGTGCAAGCCAATGCAGAACGTTAAGTTTGTTACAATGGCAGAATAAATTAAAACCCCAAACCTCGAAAGAGGCAGTTCAGGCCAAGATAAAAATCCAATTCAGCTTTCATATTGATTCAAGCGCTATTATCCTTCGTGACAATCTCCGCAATCCCGGGGAAAACCAAAAGACGACAACTTTATATAATGTCTTGCTTACACATCGAAAAGTCCGCGCGGACGTGGAAAAACACGATCTCGAAACAAAACGATCTCACTTCTCTCGAGTTCCTTCTGCAGGGCAATGGCTTAAAAGTTCACTTTTCTCACAGTGCCGCTGGAGACCTTTTAGAGCGGGGTTATCAAAACGCCAAAATCACGACGGATGAAACAGAAGAGGAAATAGAAAGGGCAAGGAAAGGGACGGAGGGAGAGCGATTTGCCACGTATGTTTTATTGCACTGCACATTCAAAAAGGGAGACTCTGTCACCAGCCAAGACTTTCCCCCCCCCCGACTGCAATATTGGGAAACAAGCTGGAAAGGATCATTATATATCAAAACCACTAAAACTATGTCTCATACGCCACCTCCGATGTGATTATTTTAAAAGGGAGATAGTTCCCAAGATTCAGCTTTCTAGGCCCTGTTGTTTTATTCTCACCGCCACATAAACCTTTGTCCAAGGATTGGAGCCGCATCCTCAGACGACCCGAGAATAACTCTGGATGATGCAAGGATGTGTTCCTGCCCTTATTCTCCACACCCCTGACAAAAAGACGGAGCCTGTTTTCTGATCAGTATCTCTTTCCACGAATTCTTTTGATTANTGCCATAAAATGGCTTCCACTGTACAGTGCAGTAGAGTTGCCATGGTAATGGCTTCACAGTCCTCCACAAGTGGGATCCCTCTGGTAAGGGGGAAAATCCAACATTAGAAATTAAGTTTGGTGCGGACATTTTCCCCCTATAAATAAATACCTGGGTAATGCCGGGTTATCGGCTAGTATCATTTACAACCACTTGATCTGCCACCCGCAAACCAAAAGGAAAAACAAGCAAAAAGAGGTAAAAACCAATTAAAAATTGTGGAGGGGCCAGAAATAGTCGAACCAAAGCAGGGGTTTTCAAGCTTCTTGTTCCACCTTCCAGAAACCATTTCAAACATCTTCCTGTCTGTAGAAGACGCTTTCGATATTTCTCACCAAAACTGGCATGTTTTACAGGTAGCTCATTTGTACTTACATTCGAAGGGGATTCACTATCTCTGTCCGCAGAAGTTCTTGAGTTTCGCTATAATATTCTACATCATTCTTCTCTTTCGGCCGAAGCAAGACTGTGTCCAAAACAGAACTGAATGCAAACAGGCTGAAAAGAGTAAGTGGAAAAAAATAAATTTCAAATGGGAAAAGAAGGGGGAGGAGGGGGAGGAAACCACCTTCAGGTTGAGAACTGTCCTGAAATCTAACACAGAAAGAGATGCTTTTAACGGATTCTGTGAGATCCTGACAAATATCTGTTTCCAGGAACAGCGCTTACATTTTGAAAGAGTGTGATCTGAACCTTGCCAGCAGCTAAACTCACCATGTTTAAGTCGAATTTGGGACAATTTTGCCTTAGAAAAGAGAATGTGTGAGAGGGAGGGAGGGAGAGAGAGAGAAAGAGGGAGGGAGGGAGGGAGAGAGAGAGAGAGAGAGAGAGAGACGGGAATACTTGGAATGGAAAAAGAAACCCAGGAGAAGAAGTAATTAATTTTGATTCTATCTCTTAAACATAAAGCCTTTCCCAAACTGTAAACTAAGCTCTGGCCAACTTACACAGTTAAAAGAAATCCCTAATATACACAGTATTCCCCTGTTTAATGACGATTCAAAGTTACGAAGGCACTGAATATGACTCTCACAGTATCCCCCACAGTCAAGTGATCACGTTTTGGGCATGTCACAAAAATAACATGCGCATGCTATTAGGTTCATGTAACCTCGTTGAATGTGCAAAAATGCATATCATTGTGTTTTCTTCATCTCAGGCTTGAAATGCAGTTTTTTTCCCCCCTTTATTTACCAGAATAAGGTGGAATCTAAGTAGCAGGAGTTATAATGACCCTGGATACCCTTTTTCTTCCCGATCATTGTTTCCAGTCCTTCTTTTTCCATTTTGGGAGGAGTGTTTTCTTCAACCACTTCACTGAGATAGCCTCCAAAAGCTGAAAAAACAAATAGGGGAATTCAAGCTACATCTGTACCCTTTCATAATCCCACATTAGCAACAAGCGCAATGGAAATATCAAAAGCCCGATACGAAGTCCAGGAAAGTCACAGGTCCACCCATTTCTCCATTCTTGTGACCAACATTGTTTTGACAGAAACAACTTCGCTATCTGTCAGCTCCTCTCCATTAATTAATTAGGAAAGAAAGACCACGAGACTCCATGNCCTTCTGAGGCGCGGAGTTCCCACGAATGTTCAAAGGGAAAGCAGGGTAAGTAGGAACAAGAAGGGCATCCAATCACGAGTTACACAAATGAGAATTAATGCAACGAGCTGGCAGTCCTGCTGTGCAATTAGAAACCATTGAAAAAAGCTTTAGATGCCTAATTACTCTCTCCATCAGTTTCTCAATAGCAAGCTGATCTTAAGCGACATTCAGCACCCACCATCCATCCTGAAGGGTTTTATATATATATATAAAGATCTACTTCATAACCTACAATCCATCTCTATATTATTCTTTGGGGGGGGGAGAGTTCCTCACCTCACACGTGCTACTGTTTTCAGCTACTGTTTTCAAAATGTACCTAAGGCAACAATAGCAGGTTTTCCTCCGTACTGCAGAAAAGCTATTGGCATCTACAGTTCATAAAAAATACTCAATACGACATTGAATACTTCAAACAAGCTAGTAATGTTTTGCCATGTACTGAACAGCAAGTCAAATGATTTAACTACACACTGGCTCAATATATCCTTTGAGATGATGAATCGGTTCTAAAGCGCAGAAGGAGGGGGAAAAAAAATACAATGTTCGCCTTCCATTTAATAGACAACACACTTCATTTCCATGGCATTCCCTGAGACAAAAATAATAAGTGCACAATAACTAGCAACCGAGGTCTTAAACATGCTGCTATTACATATGGTGTCTATGGGGTACATTTATCCCAAACGTACAATTTGCTGAACATTGCCCTCATGATCCTACTTTGCAGACACTGGAATGGGAGAACTTGATGAGGCCGATTTCCCATGGTCAACTCACGATGGCCAACTCACAGTTCCAACAATTCAATTGATTAAAATAATTTTAAAAACTATTTTGCTGTCGTTCACATTTCGTTTTGTCCCTCCTTTGGCATTCTTTCTTTAATGATTCTAGTCCACTCTTTCTTCGGTATTAGTGTCCCAGCGCAAGTGGGAAGTTGTCCTAGACCTGAAGACACTGTCAAATCCACCCAATCAACATACAGTACCTAAAAGTCCCATTGGGCGATTCAGATGCAACCATAAAGGGCAGCCTATGCGGATAGCGAAGCAGCAAAAGAATATCTGGATGAGATTAAACTTGACTCATATTCCCTCGGTCAGGACGGTGGAACAAATGTATTAAGACGACTGGATTGCTTGCGTAATCCAAATCTGCCCTCCAGGTGCAGACGCATGCGAACACGTAAGCTATTACCTAACCGAAGACAGGAAGATAATTTAATGGAGTGCTTTTGAATGATCTCTACGACAGCTCTTGAAATGATATGAATTGATCTCATCCCCTTTACCACGCTGAATTGCAAGCCGTGTCGGAGGGCATTTTTCCCTGTCACTGAAGGAAAGGAGAATAGCCTCAGACCTTCCGAGTAATTGGGTACTTTCTGAAAAATTGACCAAGGGGCATGCTTGAAAGTTTCCAAAACTCATTTAGAAAACAAAACACACAAAAAAAACCCCAAAAGAAACAGGTTTTCGGGATTCTTCCATTATGGAAATCAAGCTTGAAGACATGCCTTTCAGGATTAGCTTTGAAGAAGGGTGTGTCCATGGAAAGACATCATACTGGTTTCATCCACACATTCCCAGAAACGACCTTACAAATGGCTTCCAGTTCATGGAACAGGACTCAGGCGGCAAATCTGGCCAAGGGAGGCCACTTCTGGAGCTCTGAGTACAGCTGCAAGGTTGCACCCTCGTTACTCTTCCTTTTCTTGGCAGGTACCCATTTGCTACGAAGAAAACAATGAGAATTCTTGGTCCAGAGCAAACAAGGTGGATTGATCACGTATATCTGCATTGATGCACTCAACTCGGTGCACTCGTGATGGTTTGGGTTTTGTGATTTGACTTATTCCGGGTCAAAATAAGGAATCGAAAGACTTTGATGTAGCCAAGGTGGTACGGCTGGTCTTACGGACACGATGGAGACAACGCTGGGAAATGTATAACTTCCAAAATATATAGTCCTCTTCCATTAGGCTGTGCAGGATCAGAAGCATCAGAAGGCTCTAGAGGGTGGGGGTGGAGGGTGTAATCTTCGATCTATGTAAACAGTTTCTCTGAAACACAACCTAAACATTACAATCGCTTCATTTAGACTTTTTTTATTTTTAAAAAAAAACAAACACACACACACACACACACACAGAGGTCCAAGAGCGAAAACATTTGAATGTTTTAGCAACACAACACCGCACCATTTCCCCTTTCCGTTAAAATAGCTTCTTCTTCTTCTTTCTAGTTCTTTGATTTCCATACCCTTTTGAGGCATCCATTGCCAGCAACAGACGCACAAGCTGAGAGAGCTCCGTTGAGCTTTCTTGGGCCACCGTCCAGTCCTTGGGAAAAGGCTCCATTCTCACGAGAGTCCTCCACGTCCTACTTGTACAAACTCATCGTAGGGCTCTGATACATGCACATGTAAGCATCGCAAAGGAGCCTCCGCGCACAGCCTTGGATTCTCCTCGAGTCCAGAGAGTGCAATTCATCGAGAGACATTTTCAGATACTCGCCAACTTCCGGGCACGGAGTCACTTGAGGGATGTTAAAACCATTTTGACCTCCTTAGGAAGAGAAAAGAAGGCAGGACAATGCATTACCCCAGCAGGACAATAAGACAGCCCAAACTATGTTGTTCTGAGATGACCACAGGTCTATGGAGATTCTCGGGCAGCCAAGTCACGGCTGTCCCAAAGGTGCTTTTTTCAAGAGGCAACTGGACTTTCTGGTTTTTCTATGAAGACGTTTCTCTTCTCATCCAAGAAGCTTCTTCAGCTTCTTCAGCGTTGAAGACGCTTCTTGGGTGAGAAGCAAAACGTCTTAGAGGAAAAATAAAGAAAGTCAAGTTGCCTCTTGAAAAAAGCACTTTTGGGAGATGATGTAATCCCAGGTAAGAAGCATTCTACT